GAGACAGGAGGATCACTACAAGTTCGAGCTGCGGAATGAGACCCTGTACCAAATACATTAAAACAAAACAAAACTGATTTCAATATTTGCTTTCACTTAAACAAAATTAGGTGCTGGGGAGATGGCTCAGTGGAAGAAGTGCTTCCCTGGCAAGGGCCTGAGTTGAATCCCTGGTTCTGCAAAACAAACAAACAAACAAACAAACAAAAAACCCCTGCTTAACTAAACTTTCCCAATTAATTGCCTCATTAATAGGGCAGCTCCAATTTATATGGGCAGGGGCTAGGGTATACAGACCCGTATTTCTTGAGCCTTTTGTTTCTATTGAAGGGCAGATAATAGAACATTTGTCAGGGTTCTTCCACAAGTGACTTAACCTGATGAATTCAGCCCTGCCTGCCTTAGGAGAAGATGTAGTCTTTTAACATTAGATGTGAGACTGGGGATACAGATCAGCAGCATAGTGCTTGCCTGTCAAGTGTGAGGCTGTGGATTCGACTGCCAGTACAAAAAGAGAGAGGAAAAAAATAGATGTGGCTTGGGTTGGTGGTACATGCCTGTAATTCCAGCACTCAGGAGGCTGAGGCAGGATGATCTCCACAAATTCAAATTAGAGGCCAGCCTGGGCTACATAGTGAGTTCAAGGTCAGTCTGTACTACTGCACTACACAGTGAGACCCTGTCTCAAAAAAAAAAAAAAAAAAAAAGTGGTTAAAATGGCTAGATCAGTTTGCTTCAACCACACATATACTAAAATGCTGGATTTCTGCAAGGAGGAAGTTAGAGTTTTGAGAAAATAACTTTTTTTTTTTTTGTATTTAGTACAGGATATACAGGGTCTCACTGCATAGAGAGGACTGGCAATGATCCTCCTGTTTATAGCCTCCCAAGTTCTGGGATTATCACCAAGCCCAGTCTCAACTGCCATCTCAGCATGCCCCAGGGGCAGGGGCCAGCACTCCCGGCCCCTGCATCTGCCTAAGCAGGCGCTTTAATCAACTGAGCTATTTGGCTGAGCCAAGAAAATAAATTCAATTCAAGGAAAAATAGTAAAAAGTCTATGAGAAGCCAGGTGTGGCGGCACATTAAGGCCCTGTCTCAAAAACAAACATAAAAGGGAACGATACACCTATTAGAACTGGAGGCAGGAGGATTAGAAATTTGAGCCTAACCTGAGGAATTTAGCAATTTAGCAAAACCATGTCTCAATGGGTCTGAGAGATAGCTCAGCAGACTAAGTGCTTGCTTTGGCAAGTACAGGGACCAGGGTTCGATCCTGGTCCCACATGCCATGCTGGCACCTGACATGCTCGCTGGGGTGCGCTGAGCCAGTGACTGTGTCCAGGTGTGGTGGCACACATCTATAATCCCAGTGTTGGGGAGGCTGAAAACAGGAGGATCAATATGAGTTCGAGCTGTGTAGTGAGACCCTGTAGCAAATACATAAATGAAAGAAAAACAAGCAAACAAACAAGACCTTGTCTCAAAAAAAAAAAAAAAAAAAAATTAGAAAGTGGTCTGAAGATGTAGCTTAGTGCGTAGGTCTTGGCTTCCATCCCCAACTCCAAAAGAAAAAGTCCATTGGTTACCATCTCTTCCACATTTTTCAGTTCAGCTTTGTTGACAATAAAGTTGATATTTTCATCTTTTCGTTGGTTCCAAACGTATAAGGAATCATACTTACTGCTTCTATGATAATATAACTTTGAGCCAGGATTGGTGATACATACCTGTTATTCCAGCACTCTGGAGGGTAGGCAGGAATCTGAGACCAGCCTAAACTCTTACAAAAACATGGGGGCCAGTGAGATAGCTCAGTGGACTAAAGTGCCTGCTTAGGCAAGCTTAGGACCACAGGTGCCAGCCCCTTACCCCCAGGGTGGGCTGAGCCAGCCAGAGTCCAGGCAGAGCAGAATGGTACACACCTGTAATCCTAACACTGAGGAGGCTGAAAACAGGAGGATCACTATGAATCTGATCTGTGTAGTGAGACCCTGTAGTAAATACATTAAAAGAAAACAAAAGAAAGAAATATGTGCATTTGTGTATTTACACAGACATACATTATACATTTTTAGGATGAGATATAAGCTTTTTTTTTTTTTCCAGTAGCGGGGATCGAACTCAGGACCTTGCACTTGCCAGGCAAGCACTTATTCTACTGAGGTATCTCCCCAGCCCAGTTTTTGTTTTAGTAAAGGGGATTGAACTCAGAGCCTTCATACTAAGCTCCACTCTCAGCCTTCTTTGTTTTTGAGACAGGATTTTGCTAAATTACTTAGGCAGGGTTTATACTTGCAATCATACTTGAATCATCATTCAGCTTCCCAGAGTGCTGAAATTACAAATGTGTACTACCATGCCAGGCCTAGATATTTACTTCTACTTCTGAATCACAATCAGTTTCCAAGCTGGGCATGGTAGCTCATGCTTGTAATCCCGTCACTGGGAAGCTGAGGCAGGAGGATCACTGTGAATTTGAGGCTAGCCTTGGCTACAAAGTGAGTTCAAGGCCAACCTGCTTGTCTAAAACAAAAAACAAAAGTTTCCAAATCCCTGATTTAAGGTACTTATTTTTTTCTTCATTTTGTTTTCACTCTGCTAATTTGCTCTCTAAAACTCTGAGTCTAGTAAATAAAAATTACAGTGGCCATGTGTGGTGGCTGGCACCTGCCTGTAATCCCAGCACAGGAGGCTGAGGTAGAAGGCTCACTGTAAGTTGAGACCATAAGACCAGCCTGGGCTACAAAGTGAGCTTAGGCAAGCCTGAGTTGAATAGTGAGATCCTGTCTCAATTAAAAAAAAAAAAAAAAAAAGTAATAATAGGGTTGCGGTGACTCACTCATGAAACCCCAGCACCCTCTGAGCTTGAGGCAGGAAGATCTCGAGTTTGCGGCCAACCTGTGGCTCAAAATGTGAGCTCAAGACTAGTGTGGTCTCAAAAAAACAAACAAATCAAGCCAGGTATGATAGCACATGCCTGTAGTGCCAGTGCTTGGGAGGCTGAGGCAGAAGGATCAAAAGCTCTAACCTATCCTGGACAATTTTGTGAAACCCTGTCTCAAGATTTAATAAAGAAGAGGGGGGTGGTGGCTGGGGATGTAGCTCACTAGAAAGGTCCCGGTTCAACTCCTAGTATAAAACAAACCAAAAATGTGAAAAAAAAAAAAAAAAACCCCAAACAAAACCAAAATTGCAATTAATAACCAGGAAAGCAAGCCTCAATTCTCACTTTGGGAAAAATGGAATGCAATGACTGTTCTTCCGGTTTCACTGTTCTGAGTCAACCAATTGTCCAAATATTAGGACTAAGGGGCTGAGGTTTCCAACCTTATTGAGTAAGAGCACAGGAAAAATCTACTTTGAAATCGATCACCTGCATGCGCAAGTTCCAGTGGATCTCCCTGACCTGCAAAGTTCAAATAGCTCTGGAGGGTATTTGGGACCTTTGGTATAGTCCTATCCTTTTCAGACTGTCTGGCTCTCCCTACTCCAGTCTATGCTTAAGTCAAAGAGACTGCCTCCATTTCCTATGCGGGGTCTCTGAACTGTTCCTTCTGCCCGGGACAGTCTGCTTACCTAGAACATCTCTTCTTGCCAAAGCTCTTTCCACACTTCAAGAATCTGCTTCCAATTTTCCTCCCTGAATCCTAGTATCTTTTCCTCTTGAACTTTAGAAATATCTTTTTTTTTTTTTTTTTTTAAGTACTAGGGATTGAACCTTGGACCTTTGTACTAAGCTATAACTTTTATTTATTTTTTGTCTTTTTGAGACAAGGTCTCTCTGTGCAGCTCAGGCAGCCCTGACCTCGCGTTGTAGCTCAGGTTGGTCTTGAACTCACAATGATCCTCCTGCCTCACCCTCCTAAGTGCTGGAAGTACAGGTGAGCACTGCCATGCCCGGCCACTTATTATTTTTTTGACACAGGGTCTTATTAAACTACTAAGTTGCCCAGGCTGGGCTCCAATTTGCAATTCTCCTGCCTCAGCTTCCCAGAGTGCTGGGATTCCAGATTTATGTCTCCATGTCTTGCAAAAATACTTTTAAAAGTACTGTAGGGCTGGGGAGATAGCTTGGCGGTCTAAGCACCTGCCTGGCAAGTGCAAGGACCCAGGTTCGCTTCCTACCACATGCTGTTCAGGCCCCAGAGCCCTGGAGGCTGTGCTGGCCACTGAAACTGGGCGTGGTGGTGCACTGCCTGTAATCTCAGAGCTGGAGAGGCTGAGACAGGGGGATCACTACTAGTAGCAGACCCTGTACCAAATAGATAACTAAATAAAAAGATTTTTAAAAAACCACAAAAAACTGGAGAAATTTTTAAAAAGTATTTTAAACTAGGTGTGGTATGGCATGCCTGTAATCCCAGCACTGGGAGGGTAAAGTAGGAGGATCATGTGAGGTCCAGGCCAGCACTACACACGGTGATATCCCGGCCCACCAAAAACAAAACAAAACAAAACCAAAAAACCCAAAAAACTTTATAAATAGGAGAGTGCATACCTGTAATTCCAGCACTCAGGAGGATGGGGAGTTTGAAGAGTGGGGCAATACAGCAAGATCTCCTCACATCTTGCCAAACTCGCAGCAATAGTCCTACCTCAGCCTCCGGAGTACTGGGATTACAGGCGTGCACCACCACGCCCGGCCCTTATAATGTGCTTTTTAACTAGGAACATTTCCCATGTCATAAAATCTTTTCCTTCAACATTGTTTTCAATGGCTGTATATAAAGTAATTTATTTATTTATTTATTTATTTATTTCTCAAATGCCTTCAGGACACTTTCGTCCAGCTGGGGTGTTGTGGGGATTGAACTCCAGCAACCTGAGGATGACAGCTTCGTGGAAGCAGCCACTTAAAGAAGTGAGCTAGGGCCAGGCCCCCTAAAGTAATTTATTTAACATTCACATAACACTGGCTTTTTTTTTTTTTTTTTTTGACTTTCACGTGCTGTGCACTATATCGAGGGTGCATAAGTTATTTATTTATTTTTTTTTTGGAGACAAAATATTGGGGTTAGAGTGAGGAAGTCTGTAAGTTCCCCTATGAGTCTCTGGAGATACAGGTAAGCACGCCGAGGTTCCCATGTACAGTGGGATAAGGGTGTGAAGCAATTACACTGCAGTTTTAAAGGACAGCGAACCTACCTGCCTTATGATCCAGGCAGCTGGACGGTGCAGCAAGCCTGCTTCCTCTCTTCAAAACCTTCCCACCAAAAAAAAAAAAAAAAAACAAAAAACAACCTTCCCACCTCTATGAATCCTTTAACCCTAGCAAGATGAAGTGCCTTCTCACCCTTTTTGGTCTTTCCTGGGACTCTGCAGCATTCACTATTCTTTGGGTCTCTCCCTCAAATTGGAATAAATTAAAAACAAAACCAGATACCCTTTTTGCCTCTTCCACCCTTTGGGGTCTAGGCCTATTTTTCCGTGTCTCTCCCCGCCAAACTTCTGGGGCCGGCGAGTTTGTCCACCGCCCTCCTGGCTCCTCGTCCCGCGCCCCTCTCGCCCCGCCCGGCCAGGCCCCCGGCCTGGCTTAGCAGGCCCTGCCGGCTGCGGTGCCGCCGCGGTTCCGGGCCCTCGCGCGGCCTCCCCGTGGTCACCAGGGCCCGCTCTGCCCTCCCACGCGCCGACCTCGCGCCGCCGGCGCGCTGCCGACCCCGGGGTCACCTCGGGTCTCCCTGCGGTCCCTCTCCGCGCGGTGACCCGGAGGCCACGCGGCCCGGCGGCGCCGTCAGCGGCTGCGCGCGCGTCCTCCCTCTGGCCGCAACCTGGCCTTCAGGCCCGCCCTGGCCGCTCACTTTCACTTTAGGTCCCGCTGCGTGTCGCCCTTCGACGGAGGGGACCGGCCCGGCCCGCGAGGCGCCCGTCGTCCACGGGGCGCCACCTCGGCCCTGTGGGGGCGGCAGGGGCGCGGCGAGGTCCCGGAGTAGCGAGGCCCGGCTCCGCCCCGCCCGCCC